AGCAGGAAATGCTAATGCTTTGCCTCTTTTTAAAAAAATCTAAGACACGTGGGCAGAAGGCCTCTGCAGCAGGTGTGGGCCTCGGTCTGTCACCTGCGCACCCACCCGTGTGCATTGTACGTTGGCACCTTAAGGCGATCAGGAGACTGCATTGAACCACCTGCCCGGCCCGGCCAAGTCCCTGGATGCTCCCTGCTCCTTAAACATGTTGATTCCCTGAGCTTTGCAGGGAAGCCGGGCGGGGTGGCGGGTGGTGCCGTCCGTGCTGGCAGCGAGCACTCGGATCAGGAAGCAGGGATGGAGGTGGGTCGGCTTCCGGGCTGTTTTGTGGGGTGCTTTTGTGGGTGCTGAGCCCTTGAGAGTTGGGGCTGTGGGAGAGGCACTCCAGACCCAGGGGGCGGCTGCCGACAGTGCCAGTGCGGGAGGGAGGAGGTCAGGAACAGCGGAGCTGCTGGTGGTCGCGCCGGTCACCGTGTGGCCTGGCGCCTGACGACGGGATTAAACGCTCTGAGCAGGTGGCTCTGGCATCCTCAGCTGCAGCCTCGGGCTGCGGCCCAGCTCTTCTCTGTAGCCGAGCAGGTCGATGCGCTTCCCTGAAGCCACGAGGAAGCTACGAGGAAGCCACAGCCTGTGCTCATTCTGTTCCAGGGAGGTGGCCATCGACACGGTGAAGACGGGCATGGGCGGGAAGGCGGGCAACAAGGGCGCCGTGGGCATCCGCTTCCAGTTCCACAGCACCAGCTTCTGCTTCGTGTGCAGCCACCTGACGGCCGGGCAGTCCCAGGTGAAGGAGCGGAACGAGGACTACAGGGAGATCACCCAGAAGCTCAGCTTCCCCATGGTGAGGGCCACCGCGGGCAGCGGGCAGCGGCCGGGGGGGCAGGACGTGGGGCACGCTCTGGCCTCCGCGCTCAGGCCCCCACGCGCGGGCTTCTGAGCTGAGAATACGGGCAGGCCCTAGGGACGCCCCCAGAGCAGGGTCCCCGCCTGGGGCACGTGTGCTGGGGGTGGGAGTGACCTCGGCTGGCACAGTGGAGGCCAGCCCAGGCGTCCAGCTGGGAGGATCAAGCCTCATCTTCATCCGTCTCTTCATATCCTGCGTTTTCTTATGTGCATTTCCGGGTTTCTGATTCGAGCGTGTGGAATGGGGCAGGAGAACCGATGTGTCCGCTCCTTGTCCGAGCTGCTGACGAACAGCGCAGGGCTCGGTTCTCTTGAGATTCAGTCTTGGCACCTCCGTTCTGTGGTGGCTCAGATAAGAAGGCCCCTTTTCAGAACCGGGCAGTTTTCGGCTCAGGAGCCCTGGATGGCCCCTCCGGTCACAGGTCACCAGTGACGTGCGGTGCGCTGCCCTCTGGTGGTGATCCAGAGCTTTTCATTCTGAGGCCGGCAGATTTCCCTCCACATTCAGGTTTGCAGGTTCTGCCTTCTGTGCCAACCTGGCCCGCACGCCTTCAGCCCGCTGCAAGCCACCTGTCTCCCGGAGGGAGGAGAGACCTCAGCCGTGCCTGCCACAGTGCCAGCGACACGGCCCATTAGGTCCCGGAGCTCTTCATCGGGCGCCAGATCCCTGAAACCTGGCATCTTCTCTACGAGGCTGCACAAGCGCTTAAAGCGAAAAGCCCTTCGTTTTCAGTAAAAGGGCTGCAGTCCTCGTCGTCGTGTTTGGGTCTTGGATTGAAGAAGAAACAAATGAGTTTGGGAAATTGGCACTTTGTCACTTTCCAGACCATGTAGGGCATTATGCATATTCTCCTTGTGTGTCTGTGTAATTTAAAAAGCCCAACCTTGTCCCTTCACAGTACATTCAAAATATACCTATTGGAAGGACACACACAAAGTAATGAAAAGATATATAGCTCCTTTTTCAACAGTGGAAATAACAAAGGCACCTAGAAGTCAGTACTCCACACCTGCGCTGTCCAGTAAAGTAGCTACTAGCCACATGATGGCTTTTTACATGGAAGTTAACTAAAAATAAACGAAACTCCCTCGGCCGTACTGGCTGCATTGCAAGTGCTCCGAGGCTGCAGCGGCTGGCGGTCCCGGCTCGGACAGCGCGGGCAGGACCGCCTCCATCACCACAGAAGGTTCTGGACGGCCTGCTCCAGTACTCACTGTATGTGGTCCTGGTCACTCTAATCTTCTGCCCAGATGACTGCTGTGGGTTGGGGGAGTGGGGATGCCACAGAGTGTGGCAGAACAGAAACAGATTTGGGAGCCGCGTTCAGCTCTTGTCCTTATCACACGCTAGTTGTGTAGTCTTCAGCCAGTTTTCCTGAACTTTTTTTTTAACCTGGAAAAAGAGCCAGCAGGGTGTGCTTCTGGGGCTGCCGTGAGGGCACTGTGCCCAGCCCTGGGGACAGGTGATAGGAAGCAGCCGCTCTCACCGTGATTCCTGCGGGGAGGGAGGGCGAGGTGGAGAGGGAGGGTCACGGATGAAAATGTATGAAATCCTGCCCTGGCCAGTGTGGCTAAGTGGATAGAGCGTCGCCTGTGGACCAAAAGGTCTGGGTTCAATTCCTGTCAAGGGCGTGTACCTTGGTTGCAGGCTCCTCCCTGGCCCAGGCCCTGGTTGGGGTGTATATAGGAGGCTACCAGTTGATGTGTTTCTCTCACATCAGTGTTTCTCTCTGTCTTTCCCTCTCTCTTCCACTCTCCCTAAAAATCAATGGGAAAATATCCTTGGGTGAGGATTAACAAAAGAAAGAGGAAAAGGAAAAAAAAATAACAAAAAAAAACCACACCAGAAAATGTATGAAATCCATGAAGGTTTATGAAGTTGTGTGTCCTATGCAGTTTTACTGATTTCCTTAAACCTCATCCTCACAGCCCGGACTGTTTGGACGTAAAGGCAGGAGCTCAGCCTGCCCATCGGGGGGATCAGCAGGGCAGGTGTTGGCAGCCATGCCACTGGGAAGAATGGGAAATTTCTCCAAACCACTCAAAAACATGATTATTTAAAATAAACAGCCTCATAGGAGCTCCCCGTAGGCCTCAGGGATGAGTGAAACATAAGACACTTTAGCAGAAGACTTTTTCAAAGTAACATTTAAGAAAATGCGTCTGCTTGTTGCCTGGTGGTGAGCTTTCCTGCCCCTCCCACCTTCCCTGGATGATGGGCCTGAACGACTACGATTTTCTTTACATTTTAGGGAAGAAACATCTTTTCTCATGACTACGTGTTTTGGTGTGGCGACTTCAACTACCGCATCGATCTCACGTACGAAGAAGTCTTCTATTTTGTTAAGCGCCAAGACTGGAAGAAGCTTCTGGAATTTGATCAGCTACAGCTGCAGAAATCCAGTGGGAAAGTAAGTTGTGCTTTTAAAGCAGTTTTGGCAGCTGCCCCAATAGGGGATACCATCTACTAAATGTGCACGCGCGTGTCTGGCAAGTTAAGTTCCAGGAGTAAAGAGGATCATGACATTGTAGGAAATGTGTGTGATTGTCCGTTCACACACACACAGGCTGTGTTCTGGTCTGTGTCCTCTCACGGCGCAGGGGCCATCGTGTGAAAGCACAGCGCAGGCACGGTAGCCAGCTGCAGGAGCCGGAGGCAGCAGGAGGCCTGTGCTGTGTGGGGGGAGGGGGGCTGCTGTCCTTACTCTGTCAAACCAGAAGAGAGCTGCACTCAGTGGGAGTCACAGCATCTGAGCTTGGAACGCCCCGTCGCAGCGTCTGAGCGACCTGCTCCTGCTCACGTGCACACCTTGCAGGGACTGCTGTCCTTCAGCTGTTCTAAACCAGAAAGGGACACTTCAGACTCTGCTCAAAGTACTGGATTTGGGTGATATCTCTATTTCTCATTGGTGAAGGCACTAACAAATCAGACCAGTATTGATATATGTTTTACACGCCCATTTGTATGGTTAATTCTCAAGGCCATCCTACAAATTAGTTATTATACCCATTTTATAGACAAGAAAACTGAGGCTAAGGTCATCCAAGGTCACAAGGTCAGTAACGGAGCTCTGATACTGTCCAAGACTGGAACTACACAGCTCATGCTTTCCCCTTACGTGGCCCATGTGCCGATTTTAGTGACTCCGTGGGCCATGATGGCCTCAGCTCTGCAAGGTCACCCTGGCTAGCCTCCAGGTGCCCCCAAACTTCTTCCTCCTCCAGCTAATACCGGTGCCTGTTAGCTTTCCCGCAGCCGGGCTGAGGTGAGGGAGGCACAGCTACTTCCCTTTACCTTCTGAGAAGGCAGCAGGTTAAAATGCATGAGAACTGGGAAGTCAGATCTCTCCTTCGCCGAGGTTCGGAAGTTCCTCCAGGTGCTCCCTGCCCATCCCCCTCAGCCCTGCCAGGCACGGGCGCTGAGGATGGCCAGGTGGAAGTGTCAGCACGCTGTTCCTTCCTGGGACAGGTGGCTCTTGCTTCCTCCCACCAGTGTCCTCCGCACCCTCCCACTCATGCACTGAGCAGGCGGCTGCTCCCGGGCCTCCCCCGGAAACAAGGCTGGACCGGAAGGAAGACGGAGGAGAGCTCGACTTCAGTTCTGGGCTTCTGGTCACACCATTCGCCTCGTTAACAAACAGCGGTTAAGGCCTTGCTGGGTGTGGCTGGGCATCCCTGCCTCGTGCTGTCACTGTCCGTGGGGCCAACGAGCGGACAGTGTGATAGGTCGGGTGTTGGGGGCGGGGGTGCGCCCAGTGGCAGTGCGTCAGACAGGTGAACGGACATACAGGCCTGTTTCGCTAATTAAGGGCACACACGTGTCCGGTTTCAGACGTCTTTGTAAATGTGACGTGGGCTCTGTGGCTTAGGAACCAGAGAACCCAGCTGAGCGTGTGGCTTCTTTCCCTCCCGCTAGATTTTTAAAGACTTTCATGAAGGCAGCATTAATTTTGGGCCCACCTACAAGTACGACGTTGGCTCCGCCGCCTACGACACGAGCGACAAGTGCCGCACCCCGGCCTGGACGGACAGGGTGCTGTGGTGGAGGAAGAGGCATCCCTTCGACCGGACAGGTGCGGGGAGCCGTGCGCTCTCAGGGCTGGTGGGGCGGGGCGGTCAGCACCACGAGGGAAAGTCACGCTGATCCAGCCGGACGCTCTGTTACGTAAGGAGCGTGTCCTTGACAACCCGAAGCTACGCGCAGGTCATCCCGGCGCCGGCCCCTGCGCTTCGGAGGTTACGCTTTGGGGAGCTCCCCCGTCCTCTCTCTAGAGACCGGTCTGCAAAGACCTGCTTCTGACTCCCCATCCCTGCACCACAGCTGTCCCCCACCCCACCCCGCCCACCTCTGTTCCGATGGGGAACAGGAGAGAAGCCACACCTTCCCTGCTGCCTGCCCCCCACAGCTGCCCACCACCCAGGCCGCTCCTTCCCGCCACACCCTCATCTGCCACAGCCCCAGTTCCGAACCAAACAGGGGAGAGAGAAGGGTTTGCTGTCATTTAGCTTCAGTCTGTCTGGACCGATGATCCCAGCTATGAAGTGCAGTTGATTTAAAATTAGAAGGAAGGTGGGGGGGTTGGGGAGGCATGATTAACCAGGAACTTTATATGCATAGATGCGTAGCCCGTGGACACGGACAGTAGTGTAGTGAAGGCCTGGAGGAGCGGGTGCGGGTGGAAGGGGTCAATAGGAAAAAAGGGGGGGGCGGGGGGATGTCTGTAATACTTTCAACAGTAAAGGTAATTTAAAAAAAAAGCAAATGGAGCAAAATGGAACCTGGGAAAAGGATGTATGGGTGTTCCTTGAACTTTTCTATAATTTTGAAATTATTTTCAAATAAGTTAAATGTTTACAAAAATAAGAAGATAAAATACAATTAAACCCCCTGTAATCTGGGACATAAACCTCTGAACTTCTCTGGTGAGACACTTGCTGAGATGTCAAAGCCAGGAAGTCACACCTGCAGATTGAAAGATACGTTTAGTTCAGATCAGTTTGGGGCACCGAGTGGCCTTGTGCCCCAGCCTCGGCCTGGCACCTCCTCCTGTGCAGAGGGCTGCAGACCTGCGTCCCTGTGCCCCAGACGGAGCCCCACAGCGTGATTTCTGTGCCCCCCACTCCCCTACTGTGCCCACGGGGGAGGATGGACAATCTACATGGGAGAAACTCTTTACCCCGGGTCCAAGGGGTTAGGGCGAACGAGTCTGAGACACGCGTGGCCCATCCCTGTGGTACCCGTCCTGTGTTCGGCATTCGTGTGTGTTGATACCATGTTGTGTTGTCTGTGGGTAGCTGGAGAACTCAACCTCCTAGACAGCGACCTCGATGCGGACACCAAGGTCAGACACACCTGGTCTCCCGGATCCCTCAAGTATTACGGCCGAGCGGAGCTGCAGGCTTCGGACCACAGGTATGGTCCTCGCTGCCTTGGGCACACACTCCTCTGCTGAGACCCAGGAAGACGGAGACCCCGGGACCGCCCCGCGAGGCCGCAGGGCTGCTCTGGCCGCCTCGGGGGCTGTTGGCGGTGTCTGTTCACAGGAGCTCCGGGGACTGAGGGGTGCGGTGTGGCTGTCGCGCCCGGGCTAATGGCTGCCCGTCTTCCCTCCGTGTCTAACACAGACCCGTGCTGGCCATCGTGGAGGTGGAAGTTCAAGAAGTTGACGTGGGTGCCCGGGAGAGGGTGTTCCAGGAAGTGTCCTCTTTCCAGGGCCCCCTGGACGCCACCGTCGTCGTCAACCTCCAGTCGCCCACCTCCGAGGAGAAAGACGAGTTTCCCGAGGACGTGCGCACCGAGCTCATGCAGACCCTGGAGAATTACGGGACGATTGTTCTTGTCAGGTGACCACTGCCCCGCCCGGCGGGCGTCCGCGGGGGTGGCATCCGGCCCGTGGGAGCGGCCGAGTCTCTCTTGGGGTTGACGGGACTCTTTCCTTTATTCCAGGATCAACCAGGGGCAGATGCTGGTGACGTTTGCAGACAGTCACTCGGCTCTCAGCGTCCTCGACGTGGACGGCATGAAGGTGAGGCCGCTCGGTCCTGTGCGTCCTCGGGGCCGTGCGTCCCTCTCCTCGCCGTGTCTTTGGGTGTAGGCGCCGCGTGAGGGCAGAGGCCAAGACCCTTCACCAGGAACCTCATCCTGGTACCTTGGTTGAGCTAATGCCCAGCCCAGGCTGCTTGCAGAATTTGGGAGAAAGAACAAGTTTTGGAGTCTCGTTCCCGCTGGGTTCCTGGGTCTGTCCGTGCTCACGCCTCCGGGTGGGAGTGTTGCTGTCTTTCTCTTTAGAGCGGGGGTGGGAACATCTGGCCCGCGGGCCATATAAAAAGAAATCATTTGGTCCGGCCCAGGCGTTAGGGGTGAGTGAATTAAATGTTTGACCAGTACGGCAGGCTAATTTTTAAGCTGGTCATTTTGCGTGGTCTGCAAACGGTGTTATCAACATCCAGTGGCCCTTGGCAGGAGAAGGTTCCTGCCTTTCAGAGGGTGCGTTTTGGAGCAGGCAGCCCAGGGTTTTCCGTGTTGACGATGCCCCCGGTCGATTTTAAATTCACGCGGAATGAAAAGCTGAAGACGAGGGTTTGACTTCTACTTAGACCCAGCGCGAGCCTGCCCAGGCCAGGGCCCTCCGCTGTGCTGGCGGCATGAAGCCGGCTGGGCCTCTGACACCTGCATTGGAGCAGGAAGCCCTGGGCCACCGCGGGCTCGGCGGGCGCCCACGCTCACTGGGCCGCACTGTCCCTCGCAGGTGAAAGGCAGG